GACTTGAAAGGCTTCCTTCTCGTCGAATTATTTCTTAATGATACATCAAGAGATGTATCATTTCTTGATACATCTCTTGTTAAATATCAATATATCTATATATGTATATTTATATATATATATATATATATATATATATATATATATATATATATATATAAATATACATATATAGATATATTGATATTTAACAAGAGATGTATCAAGAAATGATACATCTCTTGATGTATCATTAAGAAATAATTCGACGAGAAGGAAGCCTTTCAAGTCGAAATTTCAATTGGCCATTGTTATGCAAAAGTAATCCAATTCAAAAAATTATAAGTTTTTATCAATAGATATTCTATTCATCTTTTTATACAAAATGAAAAAATGCAAGCTAATACCACCGTAGAATTTAATTAAGAAATGATTTCCTTGAACACAATCTCTCAATATGATTATGATTGAAAAATACCACATCTCTTGGTAACATGGATTATGTTAAACAGAAAAGTAACAAAGAAACGATTGACAGGAACGCGAACTATTATGATTTTTATTCTCAGCTTCCTTTTGTTGATAAAAGTGTCCCTTAAAAGTGGCTTGTAGCCAAGCAGAAAGCTTATGAGCTACTTTCACACAGGTGCTTTTATAAAAAAAAAGAAAGTTCAGAATAAAGATCTAATATACGAAGATAAAAGCAAAATTGCACGTAAAGATGAGTTTTCATACACGAATTTTCGTTTTGCATATATACAGCTTTCATTTTCAACTATTTACTTTTGCCCACCCGTAGTTTGAATGGCGTGATTAATACACGCTTAGATTTATTCACGCGTCATATATTATTTTTTCTCCCAAAAAGTCATTTCATCTTCATTGAAATTTAATTTGTCGTCTTGTCAACAACAAACGCGTATACATAAGAAGATATCTCCGAAGAGATAGTATATCGTATATAATATGACATAATAAGTTATAATAATCACATAGTATATACAGGGTGGCCCACGTAAAGTGTTACAAGATAATAATAAAAAACATATTTGTCTCTAAACATATTTGTCTCTAAACATATTTGGCTCTAAACATATTTGTCTTATCAAAAAGTTGTTCATGAGAAAGTTTCATATATTCGAGAGGCTTTTCTAACTATGTAAATAAAAATCCACTTCCATCCTCCCTTGAAAAGGGGCGGGGAGTAACTTTAAAGTTTCAAATAAGACCCTCTATACAATATTACATATTTGAATTCTACGGGAAAAAACAAATAAACTTTGTCTGAAACATTTCTTTGGAAAATGCTCCTATCAAAAGTTATAAACATTTAAACTTTAATGTAGAGTGCAATGAAATTAATGATAAATTAAATAAGACTCATAGTTTTTCTATTTTGTTTTATTTTATTAAATATTCGAACTGTTGACTATTAACATCTAAACAGGTATACAGGTATACGTTAAGAATACGTACAGCTTGCACTAAGATAACCTCAGAAATGTTGTTTAGAGTTAGGCAAAGTTTTGTAAAAAGAATTAATAAGTGTTTAGATGTTAATGGTCAACAGTTCGAACATTTAATAAAATAAAACAAAACAGAAAAACTATGAGTTTTATTTAATTTATCATTAATTTCAGTGCACTCTATATTAAAGTTTAAATGTTTATAACTTTCGATAGGAGCATTTTCCAAAGAAATGTTTCAAACAAAGTTTACTTGTTTTTTCCCTTAGAATCCAAATATATAACATTGTATAGGGGGTCCTATTTAAAACTTTGAAGTTACCTCCTACCTCTCTTCAAGGGGGGACCCAAGTGGATTTTTGTTTACATAGTTAGAAAGGTCCCTCAAATATATAAACTTTCATGAACAACTTTTTGATAGGATAAATATGTTTAGAGTTATTAGCTTGTAACACTTTATGTGGGCCACCCTGTATAGAACATATATAGGATATATACAACATAAATAGAGCATAAAACAAGCATATATAACATATACAAAGCATATAAATATGACATGTTAAAATATATCAGTTTAATGTATCATCAGAAATAATCCGACGAGAAGCTTGCCGACGAGTCGAAATTTTAATTGACCATTGTTATATAAGAACAATCCATTTAAAAAATTATAAGCTTCTATCAGTGGGTACTTCATTCACATCTTTTTAAACCAAACAAAAAAATTCAAGTCTTATATATGCTTAAAATAAATTAAGAAACAGTTTTTTTTATTTTTCAGTCACGTCTTTTTACACATTTTTCTAAGAATTGTGCTAGTTAGTACTTTTAAAGAAATGGAAATGCCTGACTCGTTGAACTATTGCGAGAATCTCAGAGCTAAATTCTTTGGTTGGATCATTCTTACGTAACTTCGGTAAATTGCAAATTCCAATTCTTACTTTACTTCCCGTCGGACCCAATGTGATTTGCGTCTACGTGTATGCAATCTACGTAAAGTGACGCTTTGTGTCTACTATATAAGCGTCTAAATTGAGCGCTCACCATTTTGCGTTGTCCCACGGTGTCCAGGGTTCACTAGCCATCCTGTCGCTACATCTGACACTGCAATAGTCCCACGTCGCCTGTAATT